CAGACCCATATATGCGTCAACTCCTTGAATTTTTATCAATTTTAACCACTGTGTATTGATTGTATGTGGAGAAGTTTGAGGTCTTTCTCTGGTAGTACTCAGATCAGTGGGACTGACTGTGAAAATGAGAATGACTTTAGATGAAGACCCATCAGAGGGGATTCATGAGATATTAGTTTCTTCTCCATTCTAAATTGCACCATTTTTTATAAGTTTCCTTGGGAGAATTATGAAGTAATTTGCTTTCAGTCACTAATCTTATGTTCTGGGTTTATCAGTGTCTCATGAAATACCATAGGACACTTTGAAATAAAATTCATAGACTTGCTTTTTCTTTCATTCAAATAGGGACTAGGAGGTCTCTGTTTGGGGAAGAAAGGGCATACTAGCTCTCTCCCAAAACTGTATGTGCAGTGCAATTTTCACTCCAATTTAACATGAATGAGAATGTTAGATGGAAGTAGGGTGGCTCAGGGCTTGGACATTGAAATCACTCTCTGGGGTTAAGTACTGTTTTCACCAATTACAAGCCGTGTAACTCTGGGCAAGTTGCTAAATGACTCTGTGCCTTAATTTTAACTGCAGATGGAAGATAAGAATAGTGCTTATTTCATAGTATTGTGAAGCTGAAACAAGATAATGCATAAAGCTCTTGGTGAAGTGCCCAGCACATTAGACAGCTCTTAATAAGTTTCAGCTATTATTATTTCCAAGTACTGGGGAAATGCATGATTTTTTCCCCCCTCAGTCTTTCCTCTAATTTTTATGTGATTATGTTACATGCCATGTTATGACAGAAATTAAAGTTATGTAATAAAATAATACAAATTTTTGAAAATTGATAATTTAGTAATTTTGAAAAGCTCCTCTCTTTCCCAAATCCATCAACCAAAATGATGTTCAGTTTTTAAATAGAATAATGTATATATGTAAAGGAAGTAAGTGGATAAGACAAATGGACAGATAAAATTGCTGCACCTACCCTTCTTGAAAATATCCATTTTCTCTCCTTTCCTCTTTCTATTTCTCCCTGACCTTCTAGCACTAAACAAGAGAGGGAAGGAAGAACAGCAAAAGGAAGAATGAGCACTGTTAGGTGCAATTTCTCTGGTTAAACCTTCCCAAGTCTCGGTGGAATGACATTGTCATATCCTGCCAACCCTCCCCTCCCACCATACTGCATTTGGGCCAGTTATTTTTTGTGTATTGATATGGAAACAGACCTTACTTGATCTCACCTCTTTGTAGGTTTAGACAAGGAGGTCATAAAAAGAAGTCCCAGGTCGTAAGAACGACTTAAAATGCTATGACTTTCTTTGGGCCTCTTGCTTTAGGGAATGGCAGAATGAAGTTCTGTGACCAAGCTTCCATGTGGCCCTGCCACTCCATTCAGGAACCAGCAAATATTTATTGAATGGCTAGTCGAGGCCCAGGTTATGAAACTGACCTGGATGGGTCACTGCCCTTCCAGATGGACTCACACTGTCCCTTTTCAGGTATGAGTGGACCCTGGCTGGGCTCAGTTCAGTGAGAGCTGTAGCCTGAATCCCTGAGATGTGTGGCTGTCTCCAGCCACGGTGATTGATTGCCTGTGGGGAGTAGGGGTGGGATTGCCTGCGGGATACGGAGGCATATCCATTTGAATCTTGGCACAGGCTTCTGTGTTTGGATGTGGGCTCAGGTAGAACTAAGCACGCTGGTAAAATGAATGATTTTTATTGCTTCTGTCAGAAATCTGGTGTCTGGAAACCTGCTATTGACCTGACTGGAGGGCTTGGAAGACAAAGCTGGGCTGTTGGAATGTTGGAGTAAAAACCTATTACATTTGTTTCATAATGAGCTTGTATTTTAAATAATTTTCTTTTTAAATGAACTTACCCTTCTTTTTACTAAGGGGCCTTTTTTTTTTTTTTTTTAAAAAAAGGTCCCTTAGCTCTAGAAGATAGTTAAAAAAACCCCAACCTAAATAAATATGTAGTATTTTATTTGAGCCTGAGGGGAACCGCTTTATTCGTATAGGCTCTGTTTGGCCACTTAATCGTTGTGTGATCTGAATATTTATTAGCTGTTGAGCACTTTCCTTGTGCCAGGCCCCGTGCTACGTGTTTTATATCCATGACCTCATAAATCACTCATAAATCAGTCCTTTGCATAGATCCTCATGTTTTCTCCACGAGGAGCCTGAAGCTTAGACTGGAGCAGTATTTGCCTAAGGGCCTATAAAAGTGTGATGATTCTGGGTAACTGAGAGTCAGTGTCTTCAAATGTGAAATAAAATGTGTAATAGCTACCTCCCAGAGTGTGTGTCATGAATAAATGAAGATGCATATGCACACACTCATATGACATGTGTGTGTGTATGTAATTATAAATTCAAAAATTAAAGATTATGTATATGTATGTGTTTCTGGTAAAAATAAACATTTAATAAATAGCATTTTAACAGGGGTGTCCTTTCTCAAAGATCAGTTTACCTCCGTAGAGAAATATGTGGTGAGAAATAAATAAAGAAGCTTTCATTTGAGGTTTGTAACATACTCTTAGGCAGAGTTTCAATTACAGTACTTTCTGCCATCTCCCTGCTTAAAGGTTTCTGGAAGCTGTTTCTCTTTCCCATTAGTTAAATGAATTATTCACTGATTGGACCCTTTGGTTTTTACCTCCGGTGATGGTGGCAGGAATTTTACCTTCTCATTCAACTTCTAGTTGGAATGCAACCCTTTTCTATCTGGGTGCTTTTCCCTCTAGGCTGTGAACTCCTTTAAGGCAGGGACTGAATTTGGTCAAGGTCACATTCCCTGGTCCGGTCAGATGCTCTTCCACCTGTCATCTTCCAGTGGGGTCAGGCAGAGTCACTAGAATACTTCCCAAACAAAGGTCACTAGAAAACATAGGCAACCCACCAAATTCTGTTTGTTGAGGGAGAAAGATCTTTGGATTCCAGGGTTTTTCTTCCACCCTCTATTTCCCAACATTTCCCAGGCCTTAGCTCAGGCTGGGATAATTCATCTCTGCTGGAAAATTTATTAGAGGTTATCTGTTAAAAACGGTTAAATAAATATTTTTCCTAGTAGATAGAAAAATGTAGTACAAACCCCAAGGAAGTTAACGTCATATAACAGCAGAGGAACAGGCACGCAGACCAATGGAGCAGAACAGAGTGGAGATCATGCCCTCCATTCCAGTACAATGTTTATACGATGAATGTGGCATTTCCAACCAGGAAGGGAGGGAGAGGCTATTTTCTTATACCCATTTGGAGAAAAATAGAAAGAATATTGAACTCATATCATTCAAAACAAATTGCAGGTAAATTAAAATTCTGAACACAAGAAACTATATTCTCCTAGATAAAGAATAGGAGAATGATTTTATAATCTCAACATCAAACCCTAAAACCATAAGGGAAAAGATTGACATGTTAATATTAAAAAATATTCCAGAACATGTTAACAATGGCCACTTCTACTCAAGGTAAGGCAAAGGACATGTAGTCATATATTACTTAGACTATGCAAAAACATTAAAAAGAAATATGTTTAGAAAATATATTTGTGATCTATCTATCTATCTAATCTATCTATCTATCTATCTATCTATCTATCTATCTATCTATCTATCATCTATCAATCATCTATCTATCTATCTATCATCTATCTATATCTATCTATCATCTATCTATCTATCATCTATCTATCTATCTATCTATCTATCTATCTATCTATCTATCTATCATCTATCTATCTATCTATCTATCATCTATCATCTATCATCTATCATCTATCTATCTATCATCTATCATCTATCTAATCTATCTATCTGAAAAAAATAAGGTAGGATCTTTAACCATAACACAATTTTACCTTGTACCAGCTCTACTTATTTTATTAGTAGAGATTATTTTTTTCATCTTTGGTCATGCGCTTCTGGAACAGCCCACATCTCCTACCCCTTTCTCACCTTCTGAGAAAAACTATAACATAACTGACACCCTTCAAAAATTGATTTTTAAAAACCCAGAATTTATTTTAAGCTGAAATAAAATGTTGACCAAAATAGACTATCCTCAGACTCTCTGTTTGATGTGTAACCACATTTACTATTTTTTTCCTGTCCAATGGCATATCACAGAATTTATTTTTAATTTAGATCTCTGCTGGTGTTTGCAGCTGGAAATCATTTCCATCTCCCGTTTAGGCAGGAGAAAGTCAGGGTTGGAAGAAAACTTAGAATTCATCTGGTCCAATCCCCCATTCTAAGCTTGAACTCCTCCACAAGGCCCCTCTTGCTCCATGAATGTGCCCCAGTCTGTGGAAAAGACAAAGAGCACAGAGCACAGAGCACAGAGCACAGAGTAGAGAAACAGCAGGAAGGGGAGCTGTGGCAATCCTCACGCCCTGAAATCTTGCTAGGCTTTATGTGCCACGCTACCATACAGGAAAAAAAGTCAGTTAAAGATTGTTTCATAAAAGGTCTTTCTTTCCGGATGGGACTTCTGTTCCACCATACGGACTAAGTAATAAGCTTACATGGCGGTGCTGGAACATTTATGAGAATGAATCATTCCTAAATTATCAACTCACATTACCATATAAATGATCACTTTTGCTTTCTCTCCCAATAGTGCTATAATCTCTAATTAAGCAGTTTATACATGTTTAAGCCAGGCTACAGTGCCCCAGAAAACTAGCGCTATATTGCTTTAATAATAAAAAGGCAAAATTGCTCAGACAGGTTTCACCGGATGCTTAAGTCTCTGGGTCAAGTCCCAGTCGGTCCATCCTGAATCTGCAAGGAAAACCAGTCAGTCTGAACCCTGGATGTGGTCTTGTATGATGTGTCCAGACTTGGTATATTCAAAGACCCAGTTCAAATTGCTGACGATTAAATCTTCCCCCAGTCTCTGACTCTCTCCTCTTCCCAACCCTAAAAACTCCTCCTGTAAGAATCTGGGTTTCTAGACAAGAAAATAAATGGAAAATGGAAAATAATGATCCTACCTTTGATGTATGGTGGCCATGACGTGGACAATTAAAAAGAAGTTCTCTAGTCTAGTGAAAAGAATGGCTAATGTAATAGTTTGGGCTTAAGTGATGCAGGCGGCTCTGTGGATAAAAGAAAAAAAAGAAATGACCCTGGGGGGGAGAAAATAGACCTTCATAAATGTCATCATGCATCATGTGGGACAAAAGAGCCAGTGAAATTAGAGTTTGTATAAGTGTATTATGCTGATGCTGTTTTCAACAAGTTCTGCCAAAGTCCTAAAACCACAAGCACTTTTAGAGTTGATAATTGCCTGGAGAGATTATCTGCTTTCTGTTCACTGCAATCTAAGTGAGGGAAAGAGGATCCTGTCCAGAGAGTTTTAATTGGCCCGAAAGCCTTAATCAGATGATGAATCTTCCTCTGTGGACCCCTCTCTCAGTCTGTCAAGAGGAGCCCTGCTGCTAAATCTGAAATGGTTGGCAAACACTCCTTGTTAGAAGTAAGGGCATTGTAGAAAGGTGCACACAAATACAATATTCAAACAATGGCTCTGCCTCAGATGGTTTCTGTTTGTTTGTTTTTTGAAGATCAGGATGGAGTGAGATATTAGTCTTGTGTCACTGGAACAAGCAGGTATAAGAATCAACTCACCCTTCTAGCAAGAGAGTGCATTTTGCGTGGGTTCTGCCTACTTGATGTTAATATAGTAGAAAGCTGAATGCCTGGTGTAAAATAAGAAATAGGGATACTTTTTTTTTTTTTTTTTTTTTTTTTACAAACTTTGGATCTGGGAGAGGGAAGAGGGAGAGGGAACGTGAGACTGAGCAGGCTCTCTCTTGCAACATCAGAACAACCAGTGCCTGGGGCAGAGAGCCCGGCAACGTCTTCCACTGAGCCTCACCCATTTATCTCAGCCTATAAATGTAAGACTCCTCTAATACTCCAACCTTGGACCTATTTCTTGTTCTTGTTCCTGGATTTTTATGGTAGACAGTGAGCTACTCTGGAGCCACTAAGCATGTCTTTTGGCTGGGAGGCAAGACCACGAGCCACCCCTTTCATCGCCTTCCTGAAGCGGAGGCGCTAACCCCTTCAGCCAGGACAGCCTCTTGGCTGGCTGCCTCTTGTCTTCTGCGGATCTCCTTTGCTAGTTCTCTTGCAGAAGTTGGACATCACAAAACATCACAAGAATAACACAGTTTCTGGTTAAATAAGGGATTTCAACCCAGGTTTTCCTGGCCCCTGGGGGTAGATGGTTTAAGGTGGAGCAACCCAGACCCCAGGTTTCAGGCTCTCCCCCCGCCACTGTATCATTCTCAGCCATGAGAACAGATAATTATTATGGCGAGAAGTGAACAGCCTGTTTGGAAACTCAAAGAAAGGAGTTTCAGAGTTTTCTGAGTGCTCTTATGCCCATTATCTCAAAATGGTCCATGAAGAGAATAGGGTAGACATTATTTCCACTCTTATAAATGAGAATTCTGGGCCTCAGCAAGGTTAAGTAACTTTCCAGAATTACACAGCTAGTGAATTTTAGCCTTGAGAAGAAAATTTATCTTCTGCTTCCAAATTCTATCCTCTTGAGATCATCATGGTGAAATATCCAACCAAAGGCAAATCATTATTTTAACATTTTGTGACTCAGTCATATTTGAAAATAATGGCTCAAATTTCTGAAATGAGTATTGACGATTACATAAGATCATCTCCAATTACTGAATTAAATAATGTTTTTGATAAATTCTCAGTGAAAGAGACTGAAACCATTATTGAGTTTCTTTTTTATATTTGTATAACTTAATTCTGGTTTAGATGAGAAAATAAGATTTAGCCAATGGTTAGTATCAGATTAGCCAATGATTATAGTGTAATTGCTTACATTACCTTGTGAAATGAAATAGTAAGTGGATCATATTTTACATGTCCAATTATCTTGTACATACAATAGCAATTTTTGTGATAATTTTTTATTTCGGAGATAGGCATTTTAATATGTATTAGTAGCTTGAAGGTAGCTGTTTCATCCATCAAATAATGTACATTTAAGATTGCCCTTAAAGTTCTAAGCTATATTTTATACTGGCCTCAACGCACATTAGTTCTCTTTCCTCCTATAATCAATTGGACATATAGAAAGTTATTCCATTTTGAAAGAAGACTAAGATTATTGAGTGCTTATTTTGTGCCCCAATTTTTACATACATCATCTCTTTCAATCATACATTTTACCATTGAAGAGCTGGGTTTCAGAAAAGTTAAATAACTTCCTTATTTATGGCCACTCAACTGTTTATTGGTAAAAATAATATTTATTCCACGTCTTTTCTGTGTACCATGATGCTTCCCAAGAGAACTTATTGTTTAATTTTTATAAATATACATATAAACAAAATCATATAAACAAAACAAAGCCTTCCTCTTTCTAGAAGGTCTAAAGGAGACATAGAAAAATGAATGTAGAAAAAAAGTTCGCTTGCAGGAAAAAGCTCAGTGTAATTTCACTTGTGAATAAAATTAGGGATGAGGTGCTTTTTCTGTTTTGTTTTGTTGTTGTTGTTTTGTTTTTGCTTAATCCCTTCACCTTTTTCACTCAGCTTCCCAACCCCCCTCCCTTCTAAGAGCTGATAGTCTGTTTTCTGTATTGTAAGTTAATTCTTCATAGCTCATAATAGCTAGTACATATCTTTTAAATCTGATTTGTTAATTTTAAACTTGTTTGAGAGGAGAACTGGTATGATAACTTAGCAGCCTTGACACATTTTGCTTACAGTATTATGACATAACCCACTACGACACCACACCACTCACTGCTCTTCTGCTCACAGGATAACCACACAGTCAAAGTGAGCATCTCCTCCCTCCCCACTCACAGTCATTCTTATTACGTATTTTAATATTCTCATAGCAGTTATCACCAGCTGAATTTATCTTGCTTGTCTATTGTCTTACTTTTATTATTGTCTCTCCCAACTAGAATGACAACATCATAAAGACATGAACTTGAACAAAAAATATTAGTTAGAATGGAGCAGAGGAAGGATCAGACAAGACAATATTTGTTCTTCCAATGTTTTTGCCCTCGAAAAAAGTGAATGAATTTGTTTTATTAGCGACTCTATTAAATGGGCATTCATGCATTCATTGATCACTCAGCAAATATTTACTGAGCATCTGCTATATTTTTCTATGTACTGTGCTAGCAAAATATAGCAGGGGCAAAAAGATAAAACATGGAACAAACAACTGATTACAAAGTCCAGTGGTAGGTGCCAAAGTAAAGCCTAATAGTTAATGCTAATCCAGGTATGCACAAAGGAGAGGATCACTAGCCCTGCTTTGTGGAAGAGTGGAAAGATGATCGAGCCATTTTATAGATAGATGTGTGAACTGGGTTTGAAGACAGAGTAGAATTTTCAGGTAGAAGAGGCACAAAAGGGCCTTTTAGAAAGAAGGGCGATTATGGGCAAAGGCACGGTGATATAAAATGATATGGGCCCACTGGGTAGCTGCAAAGTCGTTCCGTTTAGCAGGAAGGAGAAAGGAGCGTGTTGGAGAAGTTTGGCGAGGAAAGGAGGGTCAGGATAGGCGGATGGCTTGGAAGGTCGTCCTAAGCAGTTTATTCTTTATCTTGAGGGCAAGTGGGAGCCTTTGGGGTTTTTTTAAAGAATGAATTAGCAAGGCCAGAGTTTCACAGTGTGAAAGATGATTTGGTGAGGCAAGGCTGGGATAAGGGGATGGTTTCTCAAGTTGGTATTGCTGTCAGAGCATTTTAGAACAAAGGTTGAAAGTGAAATAATACTTTTCTCTCACTTGCAACTATTGTTCCTCACACACACAGTGATTTTAAAGTTCAGAAATTAAGCGCTGGTGGCTAAAACAAGTTTAAGCACACAGTTAAATACCATTCCAGAAAGCGCATTATGCCATCTTGTCCACCTGCCTGTCCTCATCTCTCCACTTCAGCAGGGGGACACAGTAAAGGTGCACTGCAGAGTTCATGAGCGCGTGGGGAAAGAGGCGAGAGGATTATCACCCACCTTCGTGCAGGAGGTGTGCCTGATATGTGTGTCTATAGGTACATGGGGATTCGTGGTGTAGAACAGGGCTTGAGTCAGTGGGACTGAGCTTGAGACCCAGTTCTAGAACACTTAGCCATGTGACTTTGAAAAGTTAATTGATTTCTCTTAGCCTCAGTTTGTTCGTCCTTAAAATGGGGTAGCTGATTCTTGCCTTAACTATTTTATAAGGTTACAATGAGAATCCATTAAGATAATGTCTTAAGTTCAAAACTGCTTAATTTATGCATGCTTTCAAAACAAGGTATTCTTGGAGAACACTGATAGCAAGAGATCATAAAACATTATTAGAGAAACTTTATTGAAAATGCCTAAGCACAAATAACTCCTCCAGAAAATATCTTACAATCTCCAGGCTTACACCTCTCTGATCTGTTTTCTTCTATAAATTGATGTACAAATGTAAGAATTTATTTTTATGAGTGATGGTGTCTGGGTTGAAAAATTTACCATTATGAATGTTACACAATGATTATTTCTCTAAGCAAACAGGACAATTTCTAGGGCTAATTGCATGGAATAAATACTAAGGAAGGGTGGTTGAGTCAGTACACATGGTTTGTTTTTCATTTAGCTATTTTAAGGAAAATAGTTTTGTACAGAGAAAAGAGAATTTCAGGTGCAATCATATTACTTGTTCATTTAACTGACTCTATCAGGCTATGAAATTATATCTATAGGGAAAATGTTGGTTCACATATCCATATATTCATCACATTTACAAATATTCTTTCACTACGGGATTACCAAATATGTACTTAGTGCATTATTAGAGGTTGCCGGGGAAGATACATTAGCGACATTAGAATTGGAACTTCAAAGCATTTCCAATGGAACTTCAAAGCATTTGCAACCCTGGCAAACTTGAAAGCTTAGCCATTTTTTACGCTCTTTTTCTCTGCAAAGTCATTACTATGGCAGGATCATATAGGACTGATTAGAGCCCAAGTGAAGAGCCCTGTTCAACTCCCGTCAGTTACCGCTGTTCCTGGTGCATGAACTATGAACTGGCTTGTCCTGTTTGAGGGAACTGAAATGAATGTCCACAGGATTCACCATGATGAAAAAAAAATGTTAGCAGAAAAAGGAACCTTACCTTTTTTTCTTTCTACATCACCTTAAAATCTGGAGATTTGAAACTTCAACTACTACTGTGTCAGGATTGCTCAGGTTCCTGGCCAGCAGGTGGCTCTCCATTTTATTGTAAACCAAGACGCTGTCCAAGGTACTGAATCGAGAGGCTCAGAGTAGCCTGTAGCATAAAATTGATTGAAGCACTGGAGCTTGTTTGTATCTTTGAGGCCATTTTCTCCCTTCTTTGGTGAACTTGAATGGGAGACATACTGAACGTTTTCAGCGGATCTTCCTCGTCTTTATAATTAGTAAGCAAGCTCACTGAGGCCCTTCATGCTTGCACATTGACACAGACTTTTCCTTCTGCCCCTATCTCTCACCCATGCTGCAAACCGATGATAAAGCTTGTGGTAGATCTAAATTGTCTTATTGTAAGCGATGCAGAAACATTTCACTGCATGACACACTTTTGCAGTTCTTCCTATACAATATTATTAAGCAACTATCATAAGAAAAAACTTGGGTTGTTTTGTTTCATAACTGT